AAAAGTGAATCCAAAAATGAATTTCGAGAAAAAGTGAATCCAAAAATTAATCTTGGGAAAAAGTGAATCCAAAAATGAATCTCGAGAAAAAGTGAATCCAAAAATGAATTTCGAGAAAAAGTGAATCCAAAAATTAATCTCGGGAAAAAGTGAATCCAAAAATGAATCTCGAGAAAAAAGTGAATCCAAAAATGAATCTCGAGAAAAAAGTGAATCCAAAAATGAATCTCGAGAAAAAGTGAATCCAAAAATGAATCTCGAGAAAAAAGTGAATCCAAAAATGAATCTCGAGAAAAAGTGAATCCAAAAATGAATCTCGAGAACAAGTGAACCCAAAAATGAATCTTAAGAAAAAAGTGAATCCTTCCGAGAATGAATCTCGAGAAAAAGTGAATCCAAAAATGAATCTGGAGAAAAAGTGAATCCAAAAATGAATCTCGAGAAAAAAGTGAATCCTTCCGAGAATGAATCTCAAAAAAAAAGTGAATCCAAAAATGAATCTCAAGAAAAAAGTGAATCCAAAAATGAATCTCGAGAAAAAGTGAATCCAAAAATTAATCTCGGGAAAAAGTGAATCCAAAAATGAATCTCGAGAAAAAGTGAATCCAAAAATGAATTTCGAGAAAAAGTGAATCCAAAAATTAATCTCGGGAAAAAGTGAATCCAAAAATTAATCTCGAGAAAAAAGTGAATCCAAAAATGAATCTCGAGAAAAAAGTGAATCCAAAAATGAATCTCGAGAAAAAGTGAATCCAAAAATGAATCTCGAGAAAAAATGAATCCAAAAATGAATCTCGAGAAAAAGTGAACCCAAAAATGAATCTTAAGAAAAAAGTGAATCCTTCCGAGAATGAATCTCGAGAAAAAGTGAATCCAAAAATGAATCTGGAGAAAAAGTGAATCCAAAAATGAATCTCGAGAAAAAAGTGAATCCAAAAATGAATCTCGAGAAAAAAGTGAATCCAAAAATGAATCTCGAGAAAAAGTGAATCCAAAAATGAATCTCGGGAAAAAGTGAATCTAAAAATGAATCTCGAGAAAAAGTGAACCCAAAAATGAATCTCAAGAAAAAAGTGAATCCTTCCGAGAATGAATCTCGAGAAAAGGTGAATCCAAAAATGAATCTGGAGAAAAAGTGAATCCAAAAATTAATCTCGGGAAAAAGTGAATCCAAAAATGAATCTCGAGAAAAAAGTGAATCCAAAAATGAATCTCGAGAAAAAGTGAATCCAAAAATGAATCTCGGGAAAAAGTGAATCCAAAAATGAATCTCGAGAAAAAGTGAACCCAAAAATGAATCTCAAGAAAAAAGTGAATCCTTCCGAGAATGAATTCGAGAAAAAGTGAACCCAAATGAATCTCGAGAAAAAGTGAACCTTCAAAAATGAATCTCGAGAAAAGTGAATCCTGAATCTCAAAAATGAATCTCGGGAAAAAGTGAATCCAAAAATGAATCTCGAGAAAAAAGTGAATCCAAAAATGAATCTCGAGAAAAAGTGAATCCAAAAATGAATCTCGGGAAAAAGTGAATCCAAAAATGAATCTCGAGAAAAAAGTGAATCCTTCCGAGAATGAATCTCGAGAAAAAGTGAATCCAAAAATGAATCTCGAGAAAAAAGTGAATCCAAAAATGAATCTCGAGAAAAAAGTGAATCCTTCCAAGAATGAATCTCGGGAAAAAGTGAATCCAAAAATGAATCTCGAGAAAAAGTGAATCCAAAAATGAATCTCGAGAAAAAAGTGAATCCTTCCGAGAATGAATCTCGAGAAAAAGTGAATCCAAAAATGAATCTCGAGAAAAAGTTAATCCAAAAATTAATCTCGGGAAAAAGTGAATCCAAAAATGAATTCTCAAAAAGAAAAAAAAAAGTAAATCCAAAAATGAATCTCGAGAAAAAAGTGAATCCAAAAATGAATCTCGAGAAAAAGTGAATCCAAAAATGAATCTCAAGAAAAAAGTAAATCCAAAAATGAATCTCGAGAAAAAGTGAACCCAAAAATGAATCTCAAGAAAAAAGTGAATCCTTCCGAGAATGAATCTCGAGAAAAAAGTGAATCCTTCCGAGAATGAATCTCGAGAAAAAGTGAATCCAAAAATGAATCTGGAGAAAAAGTGAATCCAAAAATTAATCTCGGGAAAAAGTGAATCCAAAAATGAATCTCGAGAAAAAAGTGAATCCAAAAATGAATCTCGAGAAAAAGTGAATCCAAAAATGAATCTCGGGAAAAAGTGAATCCAAAAATGAATCTCGAGAAAAAAGTGAATCCAAAAATGAATCTCGAGAAAAAAGTGAATCCTTCCGAGAATGAATCTCGAGAAAAAAGTGAATCCTTCCGAGAATGAATCTCGAGAAAAAGTGAATCCAAAAATGAATCTCGAGAAAAAAGTGAATCCAAAAATGAATCTCGAGAAAAAAGTGAATCCAAAAATGAATCTCGAGAAAAAGTGAATCCAAAAATTAATCTCGGGAAAAAGTGAATCCAAAAATGAATCTCGGGAAAAAGTGAATCCAAAAATGAATCTCGGGAAAAAGTTAATCCAAAAATGAATCTCGAGAAAAAAGTGAATCCTTCCGAGAATGAATCTCGAGAAAAAGTGAATCCAAAAATGAATCTCGGGAAAAAGTGAATCCAAAAATGAATCTCGAGAAAAAAGTGAATCCTTCCAAGAATGAATCTCGGGAAAAAGTGAATCCAAAAATGAATCTCGAGAAAAAGTGAATCCAAAAATGAATCTCGAGAAAAAAGTGAATCCTTCCGAGAATGAATCTCGAGAAAAAGTGAATCCAAAAATGAATCTCGAGAAAAAAGTGAATCCAAAAATAATCTCGGGAAAAAAGTGAATCAAAATGAAATCTCAGAAAAAAGTAAATCCAAAAATGAATCTCGAGAAAAAAGTGAATCCAAAATGAATCTCGAGAAAAAGTGAATCCAAAAAAATCTCGGGAAAAAGTGAATCCAAAAATGAATCTCGAGAAAAAAGTGAATCCTTCCGAGAATGAATCTCGAGAAAAAGTGAATCCAAAAATGAATCTCGAGAAAAAGTGAATCCAAAAATGAATCTCGGGAAAAAGTGAATCCAAAAATGAATCTCGAGAAAAAAGTGAATCCTTCCGAGAATGAATCTCGAGAAAAAAGTGAATCCTTCCGAGAATGAATCTCGAGAAAAAGTGAATCCAAAAATTAATCTCGAGAAAAAGTGAATCCAAAAATGGAATCTTCGAGAATGAAGTGAATCCTTCCGAGAATGAATCTGAGAAAAAGTGAATCCAAAAATGAATCTCGGAAAAAGTGAATCCAAAAATGAATCTCGAGAAAAAGTGAATCCTTCCGAGAATGAATCTCGAGAAAAAGTGAATCCAAAAATGAATCTCGAGAAAAAGTGAATCCAAAAATGAATCTCGAGAAAAAGTGAATCCAAAAATGAATCTCGAGAAAAAGTGAATCCAAAAAGAATCTCGGAATCCAAAAAAGTGAATCCAAAAATGAATCTCGAGAAAAAAGTGAATCCTTCCGAGAATGAATCTCGAGAAAAAAGTGATTCTGAATCTGAATGTGGAGAAAAAAACTCAATCCAAAATGAATCTCGAGAAAAAAGTGAATCCCAATTTGAATCTGAAGAAAAAAATTAAAAACAAAAAGGAATCTCGAGAAAAAAGTAAATCCCTACAAGAATGAATCTCGTGAAAAAAATGATTCCGAATCTAAATGTGTAGAAAAAAAGTGAATCCAAAAATGAATCTCGAGAAAAAAGTGTATCCTTCCGAGAATGAATCTTGATAAAAAAGTAATTCCGAATCTTAATGTGTAGAAAAAAGCGAAACTGAAAATGAATCTTGAGAAAAAAGGGAATCCCAATTTGAATCTGGAGAAAAAAAGTGAATCTAAAAATGGGTGTGCTGAAGTGGGCAGTCTGACCACGCCCAAAAAAAATGGAAGTTGAAAGTCAAAGCATAAGGAAGTAGCAAAAAAAGCACCGCCCACTAGAAGTGACATCATAGTTAGATTTAAGTGGGCATGTCTGACCACGGATACAAAAAATCAGAAGTTGAAAGTCAAAGCGTAAGGAAGTAGAGAAATAAGCCACGCTCACCAAAAGTGGCGTCATAATTAGATTAAGTAGGCGTGTCTGAGCACGCCCACAAAAAATTGGAAGTTGAAAGTCAAAGCGTAAGGAAGTAGCGAAATAAGCCCGCCCACCGGAAGTGACATCATAATTAGAATAAATTGCCGTGTTTGACCACGCCCACAAAAAATCGGAAGTTGAAAGTCAAAGTGTAAGGAAGTAGGGAAATAAGCCCCGCCCACCGGAGAAGACTTTATAATTAGATTTGCGTGTCTGACTACGCCTACAAAAAATCGGTAAGCTTAGCTTTAGGCACAACAAATTATATATTACATACCAAACCCACAATATAAGGCTGCCAGCATCTCTTAACAAATGTGATAGCAAGATTTGCAAGCCCTTGCTGTGGCTCTGTCTGTATCTACAAAGAAACAAGACAACTGCTAACACTTATATTATAGAAATGTCTTTACGGAATTATTAAATTTATATTATTTCAGAAAAACATGTTTAAGTAACATAAGAAAGAACAATATATTTTGAAGCCAGGATCAATGGCATAACCAAGATTGGCATACTGGATCATCTCTTATTGATTCAGCGTTACAACAGCAGGAAACCTGCACAAACTAACTATATTTACACCGGATAATTCTATCAGCTCTAAACAGTTCATCCTGCAGTAAGCAACATCTGTTGTTAAAAATCACCTACCAGCGTAACATATGTTTCACATCATTCAACCATGAAAGACGAATGATAACATCCTTGTCTGCAACGATATCACCCTGACTCTTTTCAATTTTCCCCTAGACAGGTTCAACAACTGATATAAAGCACAAGATGATAAGAAGCACACCCAAGATTGGAGTTACCTGAAACACATCAAGTAATAACATGTTTATTTCACACGTTTACATACCCTGTGTTTTCTCTATTATAAAATAATTGTCACCACTAAATGCAGAAGATACTTTTGAACCAACAACATCTTGAGAGACCACTAAAAAGTTGTCATTATATAGTTAAGACAATGAAATAATATAGTCTTGATAATGGTAATACTTTCAAAAATATCCTGGAGACAGATAAAATGTATAATAATGATCTTTCTCACCTGCTAACAGGGATTTCAAAAGAAAACAAAGCCAACATTTGTGTTCTTCTTCCAGGGACAAAAAAGTCAGCAATGCAGCTTGTTTGAATTGTTTAAATTTGTATTCAGTCGGTTACCATGAATGATGAAGAAAGAAATGCCTAAAAATACGTTTGTTTGCTTTTTAGCATAAGTGAAAATTTTGAACTGGTAAACATTATATGGGTTGCTAGCTAGCTGAAAATATTTCTCCTGTGATTTATAGCTTTGGGTAAAACAAACTGTATATTACATACCAAACCCACAATATTAGGACTGCCAGCATCTCCTAACAAATGTGATAGTAGGATTTGAATTCCGATGCTGTGGCTCTGTCTATATCTACAAAGAAACAAGACAACTACTAACAATTATATTATAGAAATGACTTTACCGAAATAATAAATTTATATAATTTCAGAAATACATATTTAACTTGCATAAGAAAGAACAATATATTTTAAAGCCAGGAATGGCATACTGGATCATCTCTTATTGAATCAGTGTTTACTACAGCAAGAAACCTACACAAACTAACTATATTTATACTGCATAATTCTATCAGTTAAAATCACCTACCAGCATAACATATCAAATACATCCTGGAGTCAGATAAAACTTAACAATGATCTTTCTCACCTGCCAACATGGATTTCAAAATAAAACAAAGCCAACATTCGTGTTCTTCTACCAGAGACAAAAAGGCCAGCAATGCAGCTTGTTTGAGTTATTTGAACCTGGTATTAGGTTGGTTGCCATGAATGATGAAGAAAGAAATGCCTAAAAATACATTTGTTGGCTCTTTAGCATAGGTGCAAAATTTTGAACTGGTAAACGTGATATGAGTTGCTAGCTATATATAATAACTCTTCATACTCTTTGTGCATCAGTATATATAATAACTCTTTGTGCATCAGTATATATATATATATATATATATATATATATATATATATATATATATATATATATATATATATATATATAAACTCTTCGTACATTCTAGTACAATTTGCTTAAAAATTAATATACCTATATAAATTTCTGGCTACATTATATAACCTATGATGCATAAGTGTCCTGTGCAAGGAAACAATCTTACCTTGGCTATCGAAGAGGGTAAATTCCAATCATCAAAGTATATATCTCAAAATGCAACGTGGCCACTAGGAAACCTGAGAATGTTACAAATAATAAGCATAAGTCACCATATTATAGTTTACTCTATGTAGATTGTAAAATGGAATGGTTACTATCTTGATATAGTAATTGTTGGTTGGTTTTTTCCCCATCAGATTTCATGAAGAGTAAAGTGCTAGCAACTTTCCTTACATCCAAAATATAAGGTAAATGCATCTGGATTGATCACACATACTGGAGCAACATTAAGCAGATATAATAAGATGAATAGTACATAATTCAGTATCAATATTCAATATGTGGCTTCAATTCATGAATTTAAAGCCTGAAAGTTTCCAGTTACTAAACAGCTAGTACAATTTCCTTGGGAATTAATTAATAATTAATATAACTTTCTACATTAAAAACCAATATAAGTCTCATGTGAAAAGGAAACACTCTTACTTTGGCTTCTGAAGAAACAGGAACATATCCAACACAAATCTTGAACAAAAAACAAAGCGCAGGTCAAACTATGATTAAGTAGATGAATTTCAACGAATAAAGGTGTGGCTGTTTTACAAAGCAAAAGCAGTCAGTTTTACATGTCACATTGACAGAATGCTGCCATTTTAAACTAAAATTGCTACTGGCTTAGGTAATAAATTACTTACAAATAAACACATGGCAGAGAAGATTATAACCTTTTTAATTTTGTTCAAATGATTTCAAGCTTAAGTATCCCTTCATCCAGGGAAATACAGCATCCAGCACAGCAAATTAAAGAAAAATTAAAAGCCGAGCCATATTACTTTCTGGGCGTACAACGTTACATGCCATATATCACTAAAATGTTATGAGCTTAATACCTTTACTGGCCAGCACGTTGAAAGATTCCCTCGAAATCGGCTTCATCTTCATGCTAGATATTAATAGGGAAAATTCGTATTAAAATCGAAGCTGAATTAGCTAGCTTTTTAGGAAGAGTATTTCATATTGTACATGGTTTTTTGCATTATTTCTGACCAAACGATTTGCTTTAGAAGATTAAGAGGAAAACAAAATACTTAACTTTGAACACACAGCACGACCAGCTTGCCCACAAAGGTGAAAGCCACAAGGTCCACATGGCATCATCTCTGTGGCATCGCTATTTTGAAATTCACCTCCACAAGTTCCCCAACTGAATTAGTTGAACCGATATTAAACTGTCACAGCTTTAAGAAAATATTTCTACTTCATCTTTTGACAACTGGCTGTTCAGATAAACCTATATACAACAAAAAAAAGCAAAGAAACCCTGAGCTACATTCAGTAATTCAGTGGGAACTAGCAGAGTGCAATGATCGTTGCATACCACCCCAGCGGGGGAAAGAAACCCCCACCGTGGCAGCATACAGCAAGTCGAAGAACTCAAGCCAGAACCTACCTTTTAGTCAACGGCGAACTCCTTCTTCGAACAATCTTCAATCTTGCTGACAATCGTAGAAGATCACATGGTGTGATAATGCCGATAAACTCCGGTGATAATTCAAAGTGGTTTGCTGATTTTAATTTGCGATTCCTGTGCGAATACTTGACCGATTTTAATAAAAATGGGACCCCTTTAAAGAAGAAATTTTCCTCAGTGGATACATGTTTTTTTAGGTCGATATGTTGCCAATTCGCTATGATATTCACCTTAAAGTGCATGCGTTATATATATTATTCAATATCACACATCAAAGCAACCTAATCTTTAAAATATTGCCCAAAATGAAATAATAGAAACCTTGGATCAAATGAAAATCAGACTTTTTGAAGATGGCGTTTTTGTACCGAGCACCATATCACTCACAGAGGGTTATTTTAAGGCAGCTGGAATGCTGATGGCTTGCAGAATTGTGCAAGGGGGTCCTGCACCAAATTTTATGGCACAGTGGGTGTTCGATTATTTTGCTCATGGTTTGCATCAGGTGCCTTTGTGCACTGATGACATCCAAAATGAGCTGCCAAAAAAGGTAGCTGAAAAGGTACAATGCACCCCATTATATTTAGGCTTAAATATTGTCACAGCAATTGCCATTGACGAACAACAAAATGCTGCCGAATCATTTAGGCAACAACATTTGAATTACACATGCACTGTAATTTTTCCACAATTGTATGGCACAAATAAAATTTCTATAGTAAAATATTAAGGAAGCCACAGAAGGGTGCATATTATACTGCAGTCCATTATTATACCATGTGGAATTGTGCTTCATGAGTGTCCATTTTAAATTATTTTATTAAAATAGCCCAGAGGATTTTAAACATAATAATTTTTTTTAAAATGAGTTGCAAGAAATAATTTGTGATGATGAAGTTCTAATTACAGTGGTAAATTCAGTTGGTTAGGTTTGGTAAAAATATACTGCAAACTATTCATTAACCCACCATTTTCCTTCTGTTTTTAACATATCTGACTTCTAACTCACTCTATGAAATCAGTAAAAGCTTACATACGTATTTATTAAGTAGTGTGCTAAAAAATGTTGTTAAGGACCAGATAATGAGGCAATAGATCATAATGAGCTTGCCCCTGTATCTTTCACAAATATAGCCGAATATTGGAGCAAATATCATATAGCTTGCAATAAATATTGTCTGGAGAAGGCCTCCTAAGGCATAATTTATGCTGAAAACAATATTTGAATAATGATTGTGTAAAAAAATTATATTGCATTCACATGTGATAGCAATTCTAACAGGATTGGGTAATAATAAAGGATTGTAATTATATCTTGTGTAATAATTGCAGTGAAATTAACAACCAGCATTTCCAAATTTTGCTTGATTGCATACAAAATATTAGCTTGAATTTGAGGTTGATATTGTTATTATATTCTAACTACAATGTTTAGGTTGAGATGTTATACCAGGAAATTACATGACAATTATCAATTAATTGTCCGATTTTTAGAAGTCTTCACTTCAGTCTCACCATGCACAAATATTAAAGCATCTACGAAATTTTGCGAGGGTGAAGCGTCAGAAGCGATCCATATAGTTGAGTAAATCAAGAATAAGATACCAACAGTGACTTATTAAAACACGAGGCGTGGTTGTTCTTTGTGGTGAATGTGGTTGAATTTTCGGGATTTTTTTTTTTCTTGCTCAGAGAAGTGAGAGAACGAATGGTGAAACATCATGTAATATGATAGGTAGCCCAACACTCGTGTTCTGCGCGCGTACACGCTACTCAGTGATTAGCATATATTAATTTATATACTAAGGTTGGCAACTTTATCACCAATTATCAATAATATATCACATACATACATGTCAAACTTCGATAATTTGGATCCAAAACCATAGTCAAGAACCTCACCAGTGTCAACAGAAATAACAAATCAATTCCAAAGTTTGCAGTGAACCCTTGCTTAGCCCATGTGCCATCATAACTCACAGCAATCTCTGCAACATCTGACTCAACAATGACTGTGCTATTTCCATATCTACGAGACTCATCATTGGTAACTTTCAACTCTCCACCTAATTCCCAATTATGCAAGGACTGAAATGCACTTGCTAGGTTTGAAAGTTCAATCATTCGATAACCATACTCGCCATCAAAATCTCTCTTCTATCTATATCTTCACTTGTAAGCTTTCGTATTGAAGCAGTTTCATTCAGTGATGTTGACCCACATGGCGTTGATGTCGCTGATGAAACACACTCAGAAGAGCTACTTTGACCATTGAAGCACGATTGTCTTGCTCATAAATCTGAATCCTGCAATATTAGAACAGAGTACGAAGGTATTTTATAAACAAAATCATTATCTGAGTATAATCTTTTATCCAAATTTAATAATCATCCAACAATCACTGTAAACATAATTATACACAGTATCTCAAACTTAGATAAAATCGACAAACTTACAGGAGATATCTTCCAGTAGTTGTTTTTCAAAATATTTATTTGGTTGTTTTTTAAAAGACAATTGTTGAATGGTTTTATAAAGCTCCACTCTTCACTCTTGATGCGTTAGCCATTTTAATTTAGTTTTCTTGATACTTCATGTTGTGCAAATGAAATGGATTCACACCAAAACGAAAAATGTAAACAAGGCTCGCACATGCGTAGAAGCGACTGGAAATTGCGGTGAAGAGCGGTGGAAATTGCGGTGAAGAGCAGTGGAAATTGCGGTGAAGAGCGGTGGAAATTGCGGTGAAGAGCGGTGGAAATTGCGGCGAAGAGCGGTGGAAATTGCGGTGAAGAGAGCCGAAATTGCGATGAAGAGCGGTTAAAATTTCTTATTTTTTTGCCTGTTTTAATATCATAAAAAGTATATTCGATATCATATACTTTTTATAAAGCATGCAGAATAGAAAAGAAAAAAAATACGCATATAAACTTAGATATAAACTAGAGAAAACTACTTTATCTTATATTAGAGTTCCATTCCGACAACGAGATATCTGTAGTTGAAGGAATGTTTACAGTTCTCCAAGAAGGACTACCACGAAACACAAACAACGTGTTTTTTCAAGTCACAAATGCAAAATAGACAAATATTAATAGAATAATATCTATTATTTGCTGCGAGAAAGCCTTTACGTTTTTCCTTCCCCATCTTTCGGCGCCATAGTTCGCTCTGAAATCAAATAAGCACGGAAACACTAAATTAAAGTAACCGCTCACTTGCATTTGACATTTTCAACCGAAATATACAAGATAAAGCAGTAAAAATCGGCAGGAATATCACCATGTACCTAAGCAAGACTTCCAACTTTTCCCGAACTTCTTCGAGACTGCAAGTGCAAAGACTGAGTTTCGTCTAGATTGTAGGTTCAACTGCCTTTTATTACTTCAAAGACAATGTTTTAAACAGTGGTTTTTAAACAGGAGGTCTGGTAAATTTCAAAATTTTCTTGGGGGAGGAGATGCCCCCCCATCCTCCGTTCCCAGGTTTTTCGAGTACAGGAGATGCCCTCCCCCTTGACAGTGCTCTATCCTCGCGGCCCTGACCATGAGGACCTATTAAAATTCTTTTACGACAGTGTTCTGGGAATCGAACCCAGAAGCCACAAATCGTTTTTAACACTATCAAACAACACGCCCTGGTTTGGCCCCAGGCCTGAACACTCTTTTTCAAAGTTAAACGAAAAGGATGGAAACCAGAGTGCCCGGTGAAAAACCCTCCAAAGGTAACCTGAATTTCAGGTTACCTGACCGGCGGTCCGAATTTGTTATTTTTATTAGAAATCATCCGCAATGACATGCACTTCAGTTTTTATCTATAATTCATCGTTTCAGCTCCGCTAATTTCAAACCGAGTCCCTGGAATTGCTATGCAATTCCTGATCCTCGTTAATTCGATTCTTCTGGTGGTCTAACCTGCGGAGCGCGCGCACATTTAGAGCGCACAAAACATCATGCTCTTAGACATTCAACTGCGCTTTGTCCGACAATGGCAACGAAAATTATTTCCGAATTATTCAAACATTCATCTTATGATAAAAAAATACTTCGTATTCACGACTTGCATGCTTTTTCATATCAAACTGATGTAGACGACCTCATGCACTGTTTTTATTTTTATTTTATACGTTCTGGATTACGGTTGACCGAATATGAAGGAAATAAACGTAATCAGGCTGAACATGCAACTTACTCAATATGGCTAATCAATAATGTTCCCTTACCTGTAAATTTTCGTAACGTATAATTACCTTTGGTAAACAATGTATCGAATTTCACTTGCTTCATTTCTCCACTCCAAACAGTTATCTTCTTCTTCAACAGCATCTCGACGGTTGGGCATGTAAGAAATTAAACAACATAGTAAGTGTGTCAAAATGCAAAGGGTTTTCTTTAAAGGGTTTGTTTTTCAGGCAAGAGAGTATTATACAATATTAAACCTACAGTTTAAACATTATACCTCGAGATACCCCCCACTATAAGTCCAGTTATCATGCAATGCAATTTGGGAGGTATGTTTTCTCCTCTTATACAAATTTCATCAAGTTAGTGAAAGTGATTAGATTACGTTTATTTCCTTCATGTTCGGGATTAATCGGATTTTTCAAAGCTTACAACTGCAAACCAAAAAATTATTCCGAACAAGGGAAAAAGAAGAGTACTAGTGTCTAAACAGCAAAGCACTTATTTTTTTTCACTTCAAACTTCAAAATTCCATGCTAAAGTATAATTTTTGTTGCCACTGACGGACGGTCCTTCGAAACGCATTATAACAGGCTGAAAAGAGAACTTATATAATCATATAAGTACTCGCGATTACCTTCGTATAAATCTAAAATTAGGCTAATACGAATTCGATATTTTCTCTAACAAATTGCATTTTGTTAGTTTCTTTTGAACGCTTTAAAGCTATCATGCATACGCAGACGCTACATCGTTGGATTTCACACTTATTCACACAAGTGACAAAACTAGGAATTTTTTTATCGAGAAAGCTCGAAAAATGCGTTCATGATAGCTTTGAGAAATTTTCTGTTATCATGCATAGTCGAAAAGGTTGAAATGCCACTTGATGTGTGAATGTACTAGGTTATACAACCAGGAGGATCCAATGCCATGCAGCATGCACATGCACTAATCATGCATACCTATAGTATAAACCTCAACCAGCTTCCACTTGATCCTGAAAAGCTCCTCCAACATCTAATTCATCACTGATCCTGCAACGCTCCTCCAACATCTAATTCATCACTGATCCTGCGACGCTTCTCCAACATCTAATTCATCACTGATCCTGCGACGCTCCTCCAACATCTAATTCATCACTGATCCTACGATGCTCCTCCAACGTCTAATTCATCACTGATCCTGCAACACTCCTCCAACATCTAATTCATCACTGATCCTGCGACGCTCCTCCAACATCTAATTCATCACTGATCCTGCAACGCTCTTCCAACATCTAATTCATCACTGATCCTGCGACGCTCATCCAACATCTAATTCATCACTGATCCTGCGACGCTCCTCCAACATCTAATTCATCACTGATCCTGCGACGCTCCTCCAACATTTAATTCATCACTGATCCTGCGACGCTCCTCCAACATCTAATTCATCACTGATCCTGCGACGCTCCTATAACATCTAATTCATCACTGATCCTGCGACGATCCGTCTGGTCCTGCGACGATCCTTCAACATCTGATCCTGCAACGATACTTTAGAAAAAAGATATGATATTAATTTCCAAGTCACAAATATCACTTAGATACCAGTATCATACCATACCATACCATACCATACCGCACTATCTGATGCTGAGACGATCCTTCATCATCTGATCCTGCAACGATACTTTATTAAAATGATATGACATTAATTTTCAAGTCACAAATATCACTTAGGTAGCAATACCATACCATACCATACCATCTGATCCTGCGACGATTCTTGAACATCTGATGCTGCAATGATCCTCCTCATCCTGCGACGATCCCTCATCATCTGAAAACAAAAGTATAATATGAATAATTTCCAACAGAGAAATGTCACTTATGTATAAAGCACTCAGGATAAATTATATCGAACCTCCAACACTCCAACGTCAGTCACTCGTGGCCTTCACATTGCACACGCAAATACAAAATGTCATGCACGTTTTAATACAAAATATCATATACGTTTAAATACAAAATTTCATGCACGTTTTAATACAAAATATCATGCACGTTTTAATACAAAATGTCATGCACGTTTTAATACAAAATGTCATTAACATTTTAATACAAAATGTTATGCGCGTTTTAATATAAAATGTCATGCACGTTTTAATACAAAATGTCATGCACGTTTAATACAAAATGTCATGCACGTTTTAATACAAAATGTCATGCAGGTGTTAATTCAAAATGTCATGGACGTTTTAATACAAAATGTCACGCACGTTTTAATACAAAATGTCATGCACGTTTTAATACCAAATGTCGTGCTTGTTTTAATACAAAATGTCATGCACGTTTAAATACAAAATGTCATGCACGTTTTAATACAAAATATCATGCAGGTTTTAATACAAAATGTCGTGCAGGTTTTAATACAAAATGTCATGCAGGTGTTAATTCAAAATGTCATGCACGTTTTAATACAAAATGTCACGCGCGTTTAAATACAAAATGTCATGCACGTTTTAATACGAAATATCATGCAGGTTTTAATACAAAATGTCGTGCAGGTTTTAATACAAAATGTCATCCACGTTTTAATATAAAATGTCATGCACGTTTTAATACAAAATGTCATGCACGTTTCATTACTAAATGTCATGCACGTTTTAATACAAAATGTCATGCCCGTTTTAATACAAAATGTCATGCACGTTTTAATACAAAATGTCATGCACGTTTTAATACAAAATGTCATGCAGGTGTTAACTCAAAATGTCATGCACGTTTTAATACAAAATGTCACGCACGTTTTAATACAAAATGTCATGCACGTTTTAATACCAAATGTCGTCCTTGTTTTAATACAAAATGTCATGCACGTTTAAATACAAAATGTCATGCACGTTTTAATACAAAATATCATGCAGGTTTTAATACAAAATGTCGTGCAGGTTTTAATACAAAATGTCATGCAGGTGTTAATTCAAAATGTCATGCACGTTTTAATACAAAATGTCACGCACGTTTAAATACAAAATGTCATGCACGTTTTAATACAAAATATCATTCAGGTTTTAATACAAAATGTCGTGCAGGTTTTAATACAAAATGTCATCAACGATTTAATATAAAATGTCATGCACGTTTTAATACAAAATGTCATGCACGTTTCATTACTAAATGTCATGCACGTTTTAATACAAAATGTCATGCCCGTTTTAATACAAAATGTCATGCACGTTTTAATACAAAATGTCATGCACGTTTTAATACAAAATTTTATGCACGTTTTAATACAAAATGTCATGCACGTTTTAATACAAAATGTTATGCACGTCTTAATACAAAATGTTATGCACGTTTTAATACAAATGGTCATGCACGTTTTAA